TCCCTCCTCCTCCTCCTCCTCCTCCTCCTCCTCCTCCTCCTCCTCCTCCTCCTCCTCCCCCCTCCTCCTCCTCCCTCCTCTCCTCCTCCTCCCTCCTCATCCTCCTCCTCCTCCTCCTCCTCCTCCTCCTCCTCCTCCTCCCTCCTCCTCCTCCTCCTCCTCCTCCTCCTCCTCCTCCTCCTCCTCCCGTCCTTCTCCTCCCCCTGAGTTCGCCGCCGACGAGGGGGGCCCAGACTCCAGACATCCAGCAGCGCGACCTCTGCGGGCACGAGCCCCAAGACGTCTCTAGTCCTTCGGCTGATGGACAACATCCTGCAGGTGCTGCGCTGATTTTTGCAAACGCTCCCCCCCCCCGCGCCCCCAATCTGACATTGGCGGCACATGCAACGCGCTGTGCCGAGCTGCCGACTGGCCGAAATCCTGCACCCCGCTGGCGACGCCAACCAACATTAGCATCGGGGACAGGGAGGGCGCGTTGAAGCTCGCGCCTGTCTTCCGGTGGCAAATGATGGGAGCCTCCCGTACCATCTTGTCGGCTCTTGCGAATCGACGCCAGTCGACGCTAAATCGACGCTAATCGACGCCAAATCGACGCCAATCGACGATAGCCGACGCTGAATCGGCGCTATCTCATCGACTCCCAGACGCTAATCGGCGCTAGTCGACGGTAAAGACGGATTTTAGAGGGTATGCCAGGCTCCCATGATTTGCTACCGAGTAAATCCACCGCGGCGGATCCAGGCTATTTGTCATTGCACCGGCCTTGCAGACGTGCTGCAGCGGAGTTCTGCGTGGATTGCAGCGTGGACTTCTGACCGAAGCGGCGAGCGAAAAACGAGGTGAATTTCGCGTGGATTTGTTTTTCGTCTTCATTCCTGGCCAAAAGAAATCCGCACGAAATTCACCTCGAAATCCGGACCGAAATTCTCTGGGACACTCGGGGCCCACCCGATCGTTTTCCGAACGAAATCCGCTCTGCGATGTTGGCGCCATGACATTTGAGAGTAGCTTTAAGTCGGGCGTGTCCCCCTACAGGGGGATTTTAAGCGAAAAATGCGAATGCCAAAAAAACAAAAAACAAAAATACCCCCAAATACTTAAAAATAGTTTTAAAAATATTGTCCCAAAACAATGTTCTGCCTATTTTTACCTAACAGCGAAGACTGATAGATTTCTAATGGTCTCAAAAAGAAATCATCATGACTCCCCAGGGGGGTCCGCGCAGGATCCGGGGAGAATCCGCGGAAGTCGTTTTAAGCAAACAGTTACACACTTCGTGGTCTTCGAGGTCCCAGAACTCCATTCCCGGGCCACATTCTGAATGCCCGGAGCAAACTGTAGGCCACTTAGTGCTCTTCGAGTTCCCAGAACTCCATTCCCGGGCCACATTTTGAATGCCCGGAGCAAACTGTAGGCCACTTCGTGCTCTTCGAGTTCCCAAGACTTCATTCCCGGGCCACATTTTGAACGCCCGGAGCCAACTGTAGGCCACTTCGTGGTCTTCGAGTTCCCAGAAGTCCATTCCTGGGCATGATTATGAATGCCCGGAGCCAACTGTAGGCAACTTCGTGGTCTTCGAGTTCCCAGAATTCCATTCCTGGGCATGATTATGAATGCCCGGAGCCAACTGCAGGCAACTTCGTGGTCTTCGAGTTCCCAGAATTCCACTCCTGGGCATGATTTTGAATGCCCGGAGCCAACTGCAGGCCACTTCGTGTTTTTCGATTTCCCAGAACTCCATGCCCGGGCAACATTTTGAATGCTGAGGCAGGCTGAGGCTGAGGCTGAGGCAGGCTGAGGCTGAGGCAGGCTGAGGCTGAGGCCGAGGCTGAAGGCAGACTGAGGCTGAGGCTGAAGCAGGCTGAGGCTGAGGCTGAGGCTGAGGCTGAGGCAGGCTGAGGCTGAGGCAGGCTGAGGCTGAGGCTGAGGCTGATGCAGGCTGAGGCTGAGGCTGAGGCTGAAGGCTGAGGCAGACTGAGGCTGAGGCTGAAGCAGGCTGAGGCTGAGGCTGAGGCAGGCTGAGGCTGAGGCTGAGGCAGGCTGAGGCAGGCTGAGGCTGAGGCTGAGGCTGAGGCTGAGGCAGGCTGAGGCTGAGGCTGAGGCGAGGCTGAGGCTGAGGCTGAGGCAGGCTGAGGCTGAGGCTGAGGCAGGCTGAGGCTGAGGCTGTGACTGCGACTGCCGTTGCCACTGCGACTGTCATCGCGAATGCGACTGCGACTGCGAGAACAGCAGAATTCTACAACTGGATTCTCATCTGAATCTTAAGGGGAATGCTTCCAGATATGCTCCTACACATCGCTGTTAGGTTGCTTTGTCGGGATAATTGAAATATTCCCCCTGTAGAGGGACAGGCCCGACTTAAGAGTAGCTACCTTGGGAGCAGTGGAGCGCGCTTGCCGACCGCCGCTCCGCAGCACGGCCCGACGGCCGCGGGGCACTCCGTGCAGCCCTTGCCTCCCTGCGCAGGTCTCCGGCGCTCGGCTGGCTCCGCGCCGTGAGGGGACGCCGCCGGGAGCGCAGAGGCCACCGATCGAAATGAAGGGGCCCCAGGACACACGAATAAATGCACACAAATAAAAAGATTCCCCATATTTTCCCATATCTTCTGGGCTTCTGTCTTCCCCCCCCACACTTCCCATATTTTCCCACATTTTCCTGGGATTCGACGATTCATTGTGTCTGTGTGTTTTTTCCTCTCCTGACGAAAGCTGGGCGAGGGCTGCTAAAACCGTGGCTGCTAAAACGGCCCTCCCGGAAGGAGAAAACAGCTTCCCGGAATGAGGCGCGGCACGCGGAACAGTCCAGGGGTTTTCTCCCCAGAAGGACGAAGGCAACTTCCCAGAGGTCGATTTTAGCAGCCACGGATTTAGCAGCCCTTGCCCGGCTTCCGAACCGCGGGAGGGAGGAGAAGCTGGAAGACAGCGGACGGCAGGCAGGAGACAGCTCAGAGACACAGAGCCAGGAAGGCAAGGGCACGGCCTCCAGAAATACGACAGGGACGACGAGCCGGCCGTCTCCATGTCTAGAGGCCTCCTAGATGGGGTCCGAGTGGATGGGGTCGGAGGATCGCGCCGCATCGCCAATGCGTCGCCGATGCATCGCCGATGCGTCAGCGATGCACCAGCGACGTCGGCGATGTAGCGGCAACGCCAGCGTGGAGATAATCAAACGTGGAGAAAATTGGGCTCCACGTCGGGCCGCATCGCCGATGCATCGCCGCTGCGGCGAGATCCTCCGACCCCATCTACCCGGACCCCATCTAGGAGGCCTAGAGCTAGATCGTGCATGTCCCCCTATCGGCGGATTTTGGACGAAAAATCAAAAATAGTCAACAAATACTCCGAAAATGCTCGATAATAGTAAAAAATCCCCTGAGTATTTTTGACTATTTCTGAAAATTTCTCCTCTAGAGGGACAGGCCCGACTTGAGCCTGGAGTGTTGTTCCAGCCGATGGCTCCGGAACGAAGCCCCGCGGGAGCGGCGCGGCAGCGGCCGGGCGCACGAAAGCGAGAAGACGGCGCAGGAGTTAGGCAGGGCACGTCCCCCTACAGGCGGATCTCGGAGGAAAGAATACAGGGCAGTTTTTAATTCATAGGATTTCACATCTGTAGGATTTTTAATACATGATTAATGTATGAATAAATTGATGCATGAACTCATCGTTGTCTTTAGTACTAAAGCCCTGCATGCTTAGTACATGATCCGCACGCGGAGCATGTATTAAAAACGGCACTGTACTCCAAGAGTCTTCCCAAATGGTATATAATACGAAAAATCGTCCCCATACGATTTTTTGATTATTTTTGAACATTCCTCCTGTAGAGGGGCAGGCCCGACTTCACGCGAGAGATCAGCGAGACATGCAGGCCCGCGGGGAGGCGGGGCCCCGGCAAGGGCCCGCCGGCGCTGGCGGGCCAGGCCCCTCCAGATCTCGGCGCCCGTGGTCTTGAAGAGCAGCGAGGAGGAGGACGAGGAGGATCGAGGGTCGAGTTTTTGATTCCTCGCATGAAATCGCCTGAAGAGGACGAGGAGGAGGATCGAGGGTCGAGTTTTTGAATCCTCCCACGAAATCGCCTGAGGCTTCGGTCGCTTTGCCAGTGCTAACCCGAGCGCTACGGAAGCGGTGCACAGGAATCCGTCTGCGCACGATCAGGTGCAAGAGGAAAGGGGGAGGAGAATCCTTCTGTGCATGATCAGGTTCAAGGGTAAAGGGGGGATGATGATGAGGAGGAGGAGGAGGAGGAGGAGGCGGAGGAGAAGGAAGTGGAGGAACACCAGAGGGTGGGCTCGAGGGTCGAGTTTTGATGACGTTGTTTCTCCCAGCGCCCTCAGGAGCCCTCTGGGGGGCTTCCGGGGCCCTCCGGATAGCTCTGGGGAGGAAGGGGATCCGGAGCACCCGTGGCTCCGCTGGACGCCGCCTAAGCGGGGCCAGGGCAGACGCGCTCGAAGGATCGCGCCACATCGGCAACACGTCGGAGACGTCTGGACGGAGCGGGTCGAGGCTCAGATCGCGCCGCATGGCCGTTGCAGCGGCGATATATGCGGCGCAGTCCTCAGACCCGCTCCACTCTGGCCTGGCCTGGCAGCCTGGATCTGCAGGCGTCGAGAACTACAGCTGGGCCACTACCACAAAGGAACGCCAGATATTCAGCGGGGCCCCTTTCTTGGCCGCAAACGCGCGAGGGCGCGCGAGGGACACTAGAGGAACAACAATGGGAGAGCCTGGGGAACAGCGAGGCCCTCCCAACCCGAACCCAGACGTGCGCTATCCTGACCTTATTCCCCGGGGCCCTTTTTTCAGTCGTTTTCCGACGGCCCTGGGGCTCGGCGAGGGCCCACAGGAATTGAAAACGACGGAAAAACTCCGCCCTGATTTGTTCCAAGAGCTGGTGCGCCCTTCATAGGGCCAGCCGGGTCTCCAGCTTGCCTTCTCCTTGGAGGGCCCTGGTGTGTGCCGTGCGCGTGCCTGCGGGCTCGCGTTTTTCTGCCTCCTGGCAGGTGACTGGTGCGGCTCTCTCCGAGCCAGCACTCCTCTCCTCCTAACTCGGGAGGAGGAGTTGAGAGTCAGGCAGTGGCCGCCAGCCACCGCCGCCTGTGAACTGTGGGCTGTGAGGGCGTCAAGTCCCAAAGCAAAAATCTAGGCAATGCGCAGCGAGCCCCTTCCGAACCCGACGGGCTCCCTCTTCCAACGCCTTGCCTGCATCCACTCGGCCAGCTTAGGGGGCTCCCGGCGCGGGCCCCTCGCGCGTGGCTCTCTCGGCGTGGCGCGCGGCCCGAGAACTGAGGGCGCTGGGCACGCGCGGAAGGAAGCTGCTGCTCCTCCTCCTCCTCCTCCTCCTCCTCCTCCTCCTCCTCCTCCTCCTCCTCCTCCTCCTCCTCCTCCTCCTCCTCCTCCTCCTCCTCCTCCTTTCTCTCCTCCTCCCCTCCTCCTCCTCTGCCGGCGCGTGAGGGCCACCTGGCGAAACAAAAAGGTACCAAGACTGCTACCTGGCAAGGCTTCGAGCCGCGCGAAGACAGACCCCCCTCCCAGATAGTTCTGGCTGGCCTCGCCAGGCTCCCCGAGTAGTCTGGGACGGTCTCGACACCCTGGCGACGCCTCTGGCGGCGTTCCTGGGGTGCTCCGCGCCCCAGGGTTGGGGAGTTGAGACCGCCCCGGACTGCTCGGGAGAGGCCTGCCGAGGCCAGCCGGGACCACTCCGGGGGACCTGTTGAGGCCAGCTGGAGCTATCTGGGAGGGGGGACGTCCGTGCGAAACCGGAATCCTTACCACCGCTACTCCCCGGGCCTCTCCTGGGGCGCGCTCTGGCTGGAATCTCGAGGAGAAGCCGCACGTGGCGACGCGGGACCTCCAGGGCGAGCAGCGGTGCAAGCTCTTTTCCTTGCCTCGGCGCCTGGGCGCACTGGGACGCGGGAGGACGAGGAGGAGCGCCCGTAGCAGCGGGGTCCACGCACCTAGGCTGTCGGCCGCGCGGGGCCGTCAGGTGCCCAAGCCGGAAGTATTGGAGCGCGCCGGCTCGTTTACGAGGAGAGGACACTCGGGCGGGGTGCAGGGCAGTCGGGCCAGGCGTCCCTGTAGTGCTCCTGGGCCGCCCACCTGCGTCACCGAATGAGGAGGTGGTTGTTGTTTGCTGCTACTGCTGCTACTGCTGAAGGAAGGAGAAAACAACAACAACAACAACAACAACAACAACAACAACAACAACAACAACAACAACAACAACAACAACAACAACAACAACAACAACAACAACAACAACAACAACAACAACAACAACAACAACAACAACAACAACAACAACAACAACAACAACAACAACAACAACAACAACAACAACAACAACAACAACAACAACAACAACAACAACAACAACAACAACAACAACAACAACAACAACAACAACAACAACAACAACAACAACAACAACAACAACAACAACAACAACAACAACAACAACAAATGGGGCAGGTGGCAAACACAACTGGGCGCTGCATCTGCACACCAACAGCTGGCGCAGAATGCGACGCGATCTGCCGACCACCATATCATGTTGCGCCCGCGCGCCGCCTGGACACTCAGTCGGCCGGCCAACTGGCATCCTCTCGTGCGAGTTCGCACTCTAGAGGTAGAGCGGCAAGCTCGGCTACGACGAACCTGCAACGGCTGAACTCGAGCCGTGAGGCACTCCGCCAGGCTCAACTGGCCGCAGGGCACTGAAGGCACAACGCGCTCCAGGAACGAACCTTGGAGCAGCTCGGCCCAAACATCGCCAAATCGGGGCGTCCCACCGGGCCAAATCGGGGCGTCCCACCGGGCGGTGGCAGGCCCGAGTATGGAAGGGGCGGGCCGAGGAAGCCCGAGCGGGAGGCTGCAGGCAGCCAGGGGCAGCCACGGCGGGGTGGCAGCGCGCTCCGCACCCCTTCCACCGAGGCACAGGCGCACACGTGATGCGGTGCAGCAGCAGCAGCAGAGCCGGAGAGGCACGAGCGAGTCTCGCGCGAACTATTCGTCTGTTTCTCGAGCTGCCGCCCTGCTTGCCAAAGCACACCTTCTGCCACTGCCACTGCCAATACTTTCCATCTGCTGCCACAAAAACGGACTGCCCCTGCCAATACCACTGCCAACATCGTCGCCGTTGCTGCTGAACCCTCCCCTTGCTGCTGTATCCACCTCATGTTCGTGATCACCCTTCTTATCCGTACTCTGCACACGGCTCATGATACTGCCACATGCGCGCAGAAGGACCCGAACAGATCGCGCCACGCCAACGTCCAAGCATGCCATCGCCAACGACTCTTCTCACACGTCATCCGCGATAAACAGCACGATAATAGCTCATGAGGTTACCAGGTTTCTGTCGTCAGCGCTGCGATCGCCTACGCCATAGCATAACAGCACGCAAGTAGGAGGCTCCTCATTGATCAGCTTGGAGCCCGCATGGATAGCATACCACCCAAGTGGTATTTTCCAGCTGCGGTTTTCGATGAGCTTCACTCCTTTCAGGATCGCCAGAACCTGCCCAGCGGGTGGTCTAACTCCCGACGCACCCTGGACTTGAGGTCCATCCTCGATCTACGTGTGTCTCCCTGTTGCTTCGCAATATCACAAAACCGATGCTTAGCAGAATGAGCCAGAATGAAGCAACACGATACCCCCAACGCCCGATCAGGACTCAAGACCCCGCCGCTTTAAGAGAACCAGATTTGGACGCTAGCCCACCGTCCCCCTCGCCCCCCCTTTCGCCCAGACATAAATGCAATCAGACTGGATAAGAAGTCGACGCTCACGCCCAGAATGCAAGCTTGTCGCCGCTCGAGTAACATAGCCTTCATTATGACTGGGCCGAGCTGCGAGACTCTTGAGTGACGAAATCCTTGTAGAACGAACCAAAGGTCTGACATAACATGTGTGGCTCACCTGTGCAGACGCAATGGCGTATCCCTTCCGCCCTTACCCCATCCTTCGTTCATCCTCCTCTTCCCTCGTTATCCTCCCTCCTCTCTCCCCCTTCCATCCTCCATCATCACTCATTCCCTCTGGCTCCCCCTCCTCCTCCAAACCTCTCCTCTCTCCTTCGTCCAGCTTCAGCACCGGGAGCTCTGACAGCTTCAGCTGTCTTTCGGCTCTGGGCGACCCGCAAGCGCAGAGACGATAGACAGTTACCCCGGGAGCAGGGGGTCAACAGTTCCCCCCCGTTCCTCATGCACACGGCAACGTGGATTAGGGATCCGTGGATCTGTCGAGTGGGCGCCAGATCCACGGATCGGGGAACGTGCCACCCGAAATAAGGCGTCAGTGCTGCCTTATTCAGCAAAGGGGCGAGCCGATTCTGTAGGGAAACGGGACTCGCTGCTAGTCTACGTTGCCTTAATCCATGTTCCCTTGAATTCCCTCCTCCACCTCGCCACCCCCACCTGCTCCTTCCCCTCCTCTTCCGCCCCCCTCCTCGAGGACAGGGGAGGGCCAAGGGGGGGGACGGAACAGAGGGGAGGGAGAGCAAAGGATGACGAAGCTGGCATCAAAAAAAAGTGTATACACTCCTGCTTAGAGTGAAGAGAATTTGAAGGTTCAGGAGTTGGACTTCACTCCAGGCCTGTTCTTGACCAGCAGTCCAGGTCCAGCTGTGCGAAAACTTTACGAAAAAAATAGGTTCCAAGAAAACGCCCAGGGTCCAGTCAAGAGTTTCTATGTTCTCAAACGACACCTGGAGCCCATAAAAATTGGTGCAGCTGCTCGAGATTTCTGATGGGTGTTGTCCATTCCCCAGCGTAGTAGGCTTGAGAAGACGCCCTGCCTACCCCGCCCACCCTTCGCCATCATCCTCCAGGCCCGCTCCATGCCGCGATCTCCTGTACCATTGCCCTCTCCACCCGCCTCCTCCGTGGACACGTCCTTCGGATGGCCAGTTCCGGCAACCCTGAACCCAGAAAGGTTGCCATCTCTTGGGAGGCCGATTCTCACTTCCTTTGTTTAACCAACGCTGCACCCTCGAATAATCAGTCTGGATGCCTTGCCGGCGGGCCCAGTCAAAAACGACCGATATCTCGGCGCAGCATACTTCAATCACGGATTAGCTGGGGCCTGAAGGGAGCGCTGAGGCAGTGGGGGCGGGAAGCGTTGGCCTGCCGCCAGCTTCCGCCAGCCTTCCTGTTGCTTCGGAACGCAACCCCATTGCCCGGGAAGTTTCGCGGGGGCGATAGCGACGATCGAAGTCCGACCGCAGCCCGAAAAGAGACGAGGTCGGCCTTCCGCCGGCTACCGCCGGCGGAGGCGGCTAAGTCCCACCAGCCCTCTGGGCGTCGGTGGTTTAGGGAGTTTCCTCTTCCACCCCTCCTTCTTCCCTTTCGGGGAGGGGTTTACCCCTCCCCCTAACCCTCTACCCCCTTCCCTGATCGAGGCAATTCCTCTGGGCATCGTTTCTGGATGGGCTGGTGGGGATTCGCGAAGCGTCAACAGTTTTACTTCCACCGCCCTTCGCCGCCCTTCTGCTGCCCTCCGCCGAGGACGAGGGGGCAACCCCTTCGGTCCTCGGAGGCGAGGCCTGGCATGGAGCGCGCCACAGCCACAGGGTCAGAATCACACCGTTGCCTCCACCGTTGCCTCCACCCAGCAGAACCCCCCCCCCCGCCCCTCCCCCTCCCAACAAAAAAACCAAAGTTTTACCATGCTGCAGCGCTGTCGAATCTCAAAGGGAGGGGTCTCACTGCCACTGCCTGTGATCACGGTGCTCTCAACCTCCTCCTCTCCCCATCGCCCGCGTGATCATCCACATGAACTCACCGGTCTGAAGTATCCTCATGCGCGCTTCCCTCCACCGATACCCCGACGATACTACAAATCATATGCCCACCGTGTTCTATCCATCTATGACCTTTGCATGTTGTTGGATGCTACGCGAGTCGAGCGGGGGCACCTTGAACAAAAATCACATATGAGTGATTCCACTGCGCTTATGGCACTCCCAGAAATTGGTCGACAGATCGATCGTTTGATGCACCGCTGCTGCACTCGTGGGCAGTTCACGCACCAATTTCCGACATCCCAATTGACACGGAGCGCGGTCTCCATGCGCGAACCGTGTCCCGTCAACATGCCTTCATGGCACGAGATAAGATACACCTGATCGTGCACACTGTGTGCGCACTGCACTCGCAATGTCGTCCTCGTCTCCTCCAGGAAGCATCCACTGCCTCCCCTCATTCGCTTGACGTGTAGAAGTAAGGCCACTGCGTGAACTGTCATCGCGATGCTTCGGCGACGGCAACGCGTCAACAATATTTAAGACCAGGACAAACAGTAAGATGAACCAGACGTTCAACTGTATTTCTGCCTGTCGCTGATATGCTGTGCGCAATTGGAACTAGCAAACTCTTATCGATCCGGACGTGCACAGCGGTCTGAGAAGATTCTAGGCTTGCAGCCCAGCCCACACACTCCAAGATGTCGAGCAGGTCCCGATCCCGGCGCGGACTGAACAGGAATCGCATCAGATGCATGGGACTCCCAGCTTGGCTGGGATACGCAGCTGGGTCCCTCCACGATGCGCGCGCGTTCGGCTTTGTCCACGTTGCTTTGGCACCAGTTGTAAAACATCGTTGCTGGGTGGGCGGCAGCAAAGCCCTTGTGACGGTGAGGGACGAACTGCACCTGCCCTGACGTAGTCCGCGCATCCGCGGGATTGGCCCCGTGATGATGCCGCACCGCCAACGACGCTGGCCAGCGACAGCAGCTGCAGTGGCGGCGTGAGCGTCGCAGGATGGCAGGCTCTCGTACGCCACGCAGTGGAGAGTGGAATCGTACACTGGCTTGACAGGTACTCAAGGATCTCCAAAGTCGTAAGCCTCATGATGAAAGACTCCGGTACATTCGAGCGCAAGTCCAGGAGAGCCCAGAATCGAATCGATAAGTCGGATCGGCAATCGAAATGAATCGGATCGGCGGAAATCGGCAGCCGAGTCGGGAAAAGTCGAATCGGCGGAAATCGACAGGCTAGTATGCGTCCAATAAGAAATCGGACCCCAAATCGGAATCCGAAATCGAATCGAATCGGAATCGGAATCCATCGAAGTCGAATCGAATCGAATCGGAGGAATCGAAACGCGCCCTGCAAGTCCGCCCTGACGGAGCTACACACGTTGAAAAAACGGGCTTTTCCAGCGCAGCTGGTACAAGCTCCAATAGATCGACACACATAACCATGATGCGCATGGGTAAACACGAGTGGTCCCGGGTTGACAAGGTCAGGAAGTCGTAGCGGTCGTAGCTCAGGGAGCTACTTGCATGACCGCCCATGACTCCGTGCCCCTTGTAGTCCACCTTCAACAACACAACGTACAAAACGGTTCTAAAGTGGTATGCAGGGCGCTTGCTCCACAAGTCTTACACATCCTTGTGATACTCGTGCGCGCCACAGCTGATCCGAGTTTCGAATCAGACTTCTGATGGAAACAACGAGCACCCCACTACCGAACCGCCGCCTTTCACACACGCTCCCGCGTCGTGCCATCTGCAGCTCCCACTTTGCTCATGCACATGCTCCTCCAGCCTCGGTCCCTTCATCCAGTGTAGCACCTGGCGCACACTGCCTACTTTGCAAACACTCGAAGCTGTCATCACGATCGTCACCATCGTTGTCATCATCACTGTCGTCGTCATTCTCGCGGCCATGTTCCCACCCTATATTCTACTAACTCCTTCGTCCCTTGAGAAGCATTCAGGGCCAGTGCTGGGCATTGTTCACCCAGCTGTTTTGGACCCCCCCCCCCCGCAGCCCTCTAGGCCTCGTGGAGGGGCGCAATGAAGGCCGATGCCATCTGGGCCTCCATGGAAATTCTGGGAACACCTTGGGCCAAGGACGCCTATAGTACCCAAACTCTAACTCTTTCCCGTATTGCCCTCGACGTCCGCCGCGGCGCCCACCTGCTGAGCCCCCTGCAGCGTGAGACCCTGCGACACGGAGCCCATCTCCTCCGCAGCTGGCTGGGATCGCTTCCGCTACTTACCATCTGCTCCAACCCTCGGCGAGCTAGGGAACAGTCAAGCTACGCTGGGAGCAAGAGGAGCGCTAGAGGAACAACCATGGAAGACCCTGGGGAACGGCAAGCCTCTTCCGAAACTGAGCTGATCTTGATTGCGATTGCATCGTGCCGGTTGTAGCACAAAGTCACCGCGCAGGGGGGAACCAACTGATACTGATACCGCTACTCCCCAGACCTCTCCCGGGGCGCGTTCCGACCGGGATTTCGAGACGAATCCAGCCGTGGCGACGAGGGCATCCCACGAGGCCCAAAAAGGCGGAAGCCAGGCAAGGCCAGCGGTATTGGTACCTCCTCTGAGGAGGTCGGCTACACGCAAGAGTGGCCCTAGGCAAGAGTGACCTTTGCTGCGCGGCTTCACGGGGGGGGGCGGGGTGGTCCAGCCGAGGCGCGCAATCCGCTGCTACCGCCTCGCGCTCAGCGATCGGGGGACCCCGGTTGGGCCCGCACCAAAGGTCACTCTGGCGAAAGGTCACTGCTACGTCTAGTCGAGGAGAGCGGACGCCGAGAGCAACCAAACCTCTCGAGCCCGGGCCCGAGGCGCCAAGAGCGGGGCCATGCGAGGCGGGGAGCCGTCCAGCTCCACCGCCTGGGAGCCGACGCCCTGGTGCCCCAGCGGGCGGCGGATGTGGACATACGCGTCGGCCCCCTCCGGGGCCCGAAGATGTCCAGGTCCACCGCCTGCCGAGGCCCTAAATTCGCACTCTACCTGCAAGGAGGAAAGACTGGTCTACTCTGTAAGAGCGGTTTTTTGAAGGCAGATCTGCCTTCAAAAAACCGTTCTTACAGAATTTTTTGAAGGCAGATCTGCCTTCAAAAAACCGTTCTTACAGAATTTGTTGAAGGCAGATCTGCCTTCAAAAAACTGTTCTTACAGAGTAGGCCCCCGAAGACTGATCCTCCAGGCGGTGGTCACTGTATAGCTCCCCGCCTCTGAGGGCGGGCCCCCGGCGCGAGCTGCCTCGGCGTCGGCCCGCGGGCCCAGGAGAAAGGGGCGGGCGAGAGCCCCTGGCCGCGGGAGGCGGAGGAGTCCCCTGCGCGCGGCGTGCCGCAAGGCTGAGAGCTGGCGCGGACTGCCCAAGGTGGGGTCGGGCACGTCCTCCGACGGGGGGATTCTGGACGAACAATCAAAAATAGGCAAAACATCTGAAAAAGTAAAGACATGCTCACAAAAAGCGTCCCTGGGCTATTTTTGGACTATTTCTGACTCGTCCTCCTGTAGAGGGACAAGCCCGATTGAAGCATAACAAGTGCCCACAACCCATCTGGGGCTGGTTAGTGGGCCCCATGGATGCGGGGCGACAAACGATCACCGGAGAAGGGGCTGGGACCTCCGGGGCCGCGCATTGAAAAATCATGTCGTCGGACGGCTGGGTCTCAGACGGCCCAGATCCTCCCAGAGCTCGTATCTTGGGGCCTGGAAGGATCTCGAAACGGGCCCGAAAGAACCCACGGGTCACTGCTTCGACCTTGCAGACGTGCTGCAGCGGATTTTTGCGTGGATTCTGGCCAATGCAAAACCCCGAAACAGCGATCGAAAAACAAAGGGATCTTCACGTGGACGTGTTGTAGTCTTCATTCCTGGCCAGACAAAATCCGCACGAAATTCACTTCGAAATCCGAAGCGGAATTCTCCAGGACAATCTGGGCCCATCCCATTGTTTTCCGAGCGAAATCCGCTCTGCGATGTTGGCGCCATGACACGGGGCCGGGGCAGGGACCAAAGGCGACAGGCACGAAAAAAGGAAACGGGACAAGCAAGCCAAGAACGGATATATACGCTCCCCTCGCCCCCTTGGGAAAGGGGAGGAAGTGGATCTGCTCCCGCTGCGGAGGCAGACAAGGATAATCGGAAGTCGTGGCCGCCCCTGCGAGCGTTGATGATCGGATGAGTGCGTAAGTGAGTCACCGAATCAGTGAACATAATTCTGTTGTTACCGAAGCAGTGACAAGTGATGAAGGGAGTTCAAACGACTGGGGGGGCCAGCGACCACGCAGGGGACAGCCTGACAGACCAGCGGGCAGCAGGGGACTGAGGAAGGGAAGCTGAGAGCTGTCGAGCAATTAGGGCTCCTCCTTGTCCTCCTCCCCATCCTCTTCCTCCACCACCCAGCCCTCCTCCACCATCCGCTTTCCTCTCCTCCTTTTCCTCCTCCTCCTCCTCCTCCTCCGCCGCCTCCTCCTCCTCCTCCTCGTGTACCTCCTCCTCCTCCTCCTCCTCCAGCTCTTCCTCCTCATACTGCCCCTTCGTCCTCCTCACCATCACGATCCGTTTCCTCATCGTCCACCCCTCTTCCATACATCCTCATCATAAGCAGCTCCTCCTCGTCGAACCACCAGGCACGTCGAGCAAGATGGGCTGGACGTTCAACCCCAAACTCCCTCACCTTCTGCGACCCGGAAGCTCGAGATATGTCTTGCCGCTGCACGGATGGAACGCGGGTCGATGGTGGGCGGCTGGTATCTTCAACGTAGCTCTCGCCTTCGCACCGCGCGCATCTGAGCGACGAAACGAAGCAGGTCTCACGCGAGAAAACACAGCGACTTTGCCCCGCGGCTTACGCGGGCCGCCAGCATGGCACTTCGCGTGGAGAGGAGTGCGCTAACGCACGGCATTACGCGCTTACGCGCCCGCGCACAGTCGTCTTAAAAGCTTCCCGCAGTCAGAACAAGTATTTGGTTGGCTCCTTTTCACAGCGAGGGGGCATTTTTTGATTATTTTCGACTATTCCCCCTGTAGAGGGACAGGCCCGACTTAAACCCAGACCCCATTGTCATGACTTTTTCACAGCGGCGACCCCCAAAGGTCTCGACCTATTCCCTGAGGCCGATTTGTCGTCCTGAGTCGTCTTTTGAGAATCCCAGGGCCCGGCGAGGGCCCCCGGAGACCGAAAACGACCAATAGACTACGTCTTGACTGGCGCCAAGACGTTGGATGTCTGGGGTCGGAGATCTGGCGAGGGGCAATGATAGGGGAGGATCTGCTTTGGGGGAGCAACATCGAGCTGGAATCGGCGATACACGGCCGATAAGGGCCTGACAGCCCACCCCGCCCAGGAACGTGAGGATTTGCCGTCGGGGGCCTATCACCGATCTGTTGGCGACGCGTCGCCGCTTCCAGCTCGATGTTCTACCCCTGAGCCTGTCCCCTGAGCTACTATTTTGCCCTGGATATCAGACCCCCGACTTCATGAATTTTCGGAGGCGTTCAGGGGGGGGGGCGTCCCAGAGGAGGGGGCACAAATCATGGCCGGCGGCATGTGCGCGGCCCAGGGGGGTCGCCGGGGACGTGTTGGAATAAGAAGAGGCGCCATGAAATGTGGGGAGATATCATGGCCCCCGCCATGATACCCCCCCTAGTCATCACACCCCTCTCTTTGCCGGCCCTGAAATTTGTTAGAACCTCGACCCCCAAAGGTTTCGACCCATTCCCCAGGACCGGCTTTTCATCCCGAGTCGTTTTTGTTGACGGCGCCTAGGGCCTGACAGGGGCCCCCAGGAGATCACCCGTCGGTCGGAAGACGTAGGTAGAACCATGAGATAGGAAGGCGTTGGAAGTAGATTGGGTTTACGGTTTACGCCCGCCCCCTGCAGAGGAGGGAAGAGGTGAAACCGCTCGGCCTTTCAAGCAGAAAGGCGGCTAAAGTAGTCTGGGATCCGGGAATCCAAAAATACCTACCCCCAGCGACCGACGGGGAATTCCCACCCTACGCTCCACGGAAGCTGCGCCCCCCCTCGGCAGCGCAGCCCTGGACAATCTGCCCGCCCTGCGCTGTCCTGGCCGCCCCTCCGACCCGGGCGGAGGGAGGAGGAGAAGGGAGGCCGGGCGGTCGGGCGCTGACTTGGGCGAGATGCCGCGTTCACGCGGGCCAGTGCCCTGCAGCTGCCCCTGTGACTGCAGGGCAGGGCGGGCCTCGAAGACGCCCGCGAAAGAGAGAGCTGGTCCACCCCCGGGGAGGGAGGAGCGGTGGGGCGATGAGCATCGTTTACCCCATCCCTATCCCCACCGGCGTGGCCTGGGCCCCGCTGGTCGATTTACCCCGTTAGATGGGGATACAGGCTGTTCCCTTCGGGCTTCGAGGGGTATATCCCCAACTGGGGAGGGAGGAGCGGTGGGGCGATGAGCATCGTTTACCCCGTCCCTATCCCCACCGGCGTGGAGATGGGGCTAGGGACCAGTTCAACGACACTGAGACAAGCAGGGAGGGGGAATGGGGAGGAGGAGGGGGAGGAGGAGGAGGAGGAGGAGGAGGAGGAGGAGGAGGAGGAGGAGGAGGAGGAGGAGGAGTAGGAGGAGGAGGGGGAGGAGGAGGAGGAGGGAGGAGGAGGAGGAGGAGGAAGAGGAGGGGGAGGAGGAGGAGGAGGACGAGAGGAGGAGGAGGAAGAGGAGGGGGAGTAGGAGGAGGAGGAGGAGGAGGAGGAGGAGGAGAAGGGAATGGAGAGAAGGAAGGAGGAGGCCTGGGGGCCCCGAGACAGCCCGGTCCTGGGCGCTCACCTCGAAGTCTAGCGGCACCGCGGCAGGCCCTCCCCGCTGCTGGCCCCACGGCCTCGGGAACACACTCGCGCCGTCGTTGTCGTCGCCGTCGGTGTCGTCGTCGTCGTCGTCGGCGTCGTCGTCGTCGGCGGCGTCGGCGGCGTCGTCGTCGAAGGCGTGCGTCGCCGTCGTCGGCGTCGTCGTCGTCGGCGTTGTCGTCGTCGTCGTCGTCGTCGGCGTCGTCGTCGTCGACGTCGTCGTCGTCGTCGGCGTCGGCGGCGGCGTCGTCGACGATGGCGTCCTCCTCGTCGGCGTCGGCGGCGGCGTCGTCGACGATGGCGTCCTCCTCGTCGGCGTCGGCATCGGCGTCAACGGCGTCGTCGGCGCCGACGGCGTCGTTGTCGTCGTCGTCAGCGTCATCGGCGTCTTGCCGTCGTCGTAGTCGTCGTCGTCGGCGTCGTCAGCGTCGTTGTCGGCGTCGTCGTCGTCGTCGCGACGCCGTCGTCGTCGGCGCCGGCGTCGTCGGCGTCGTCGGCGTCGCTGTCGAGGTCGTCGGTGTCGGCGTCGTCGTCGTCGTCGGCGTCGGCGGCGGCGGCGTCATCGTCGTCATCGTCGTCGTCGTCGGCGTCGGCGTCGTCGTGGGCGTCGTCGGCGTCGTCGGCGTCGTCGTCGTCGACTGCGTCGTCGTCGTCGTCGGCGCCGGCGGCGGCGTCGTCGTCGTCGGCGTCTTCGTCGTCGGCGTCGGCGTCGTCGGCGTCGGCGGCGGCATCGTCGGCGTCATCGGCGTCGGCGTCAGCGTCGGCGTCGGCATCGGCGTCAACGGCGTCGTCGGCGTCGTCGGCGTCGTTGAGGTCGTCGTCAGCGTCGTCGGCGTCTCGTCGTCGTCATCGTCGTCGTCAGCGTCGTCGTCGGCATTGGTGTCAGCGTCGGCGTCGTTGTCGACGTCATCAGCGTCGTCGGCGTCGTTGTCGTCGTCGTCGGTGTCGGCGTCGTCGTCGGCGTCGGCGCCGGCGGCGGCGTCATCGTCGTCGTCGTCGCCGTCGTGGTCGTCGTCGTCGGCGTTTTCCTGGGCGTCGTCGTCATGGTGGGCGTCGGTGTCGTTGTCGACGTCATCGGCGTCGTCGGCGTTGTTGTCGTCGTCGTCGTCGGCGTCGGCGGCGTCGACGTCGTTGTCGGCGCCGGCGCCGGCGTCGTCGTCGTCGCCGTCTTCATCATCGTCGTGGTCATCGGCGACGTCGTCGTCGTCCTCGTCGGCGTCGTCGCCGTCGGCGTCGTCGTCGTCGGCGTCGTCGTCGTCGGCGTCGGCGGCGGCGTCGTCGTCGGCGTTGGTGTCGTCGGCGGCGTCGTCGGCGTCGTCGTCGGCGTCAGCGTCGTCGTCAGCGTCGGCGTCGGCGTCGGCGTGAACGGCGTCGTCGGCGTCGTCGTCGTCGGCGTCGTCGGCGTCTTGTCGTCGTCGTCGGCGTCGTTCTCGGCGTCATCGTCAGCGTCGGCGGAAGCGACATGGTCGTCATCGCCGTCGTCGTCGTCGTCGTCGGCGTCGTCTTCGTCGTCGGTGTCGCCGGCGTCGTCGGTGTGGTCGGCGTCGGCGTCGTCGTTGGCGGCGTCGTCAATGTCGGCGTCGGATCCTCGTCGGCGTCGGCGTCGTCGTCGGAGTCGGCGTCGTCGGCGTGGGCGGCGTCGTCGTCGGCGTCAGCGTCGGCGTCAGCGTCGGCGTCGGCGTCAACGGCGTCGTCGGCGTCGTCGGCGTCGTTGTCGTCGTCGTCGGCGTCGTCTGCCTCGTTGTCGTCGTCGTCGGCGACGTCGGCGTCGGCGTCGTCGTGGTCGGCACTGGCGTCAGCGTCGGCGTCGTTGTCGACGTCGTCGGCGTCGGCGTCGTCGTCGTCCTCGTAGTCGGTGACGGCGTCCTCGCCATCGGCGTCGACGGCAACGTCATCGTCGTCGTCGCCGTCGTCGTCGTGGATGTCGTCGGCGTCATCGTCGTGGGCGTCGTCGTCGGCGTCGTCGTTGTCGTCATCGGCGTCGGCGGCGGGGTCGTCGTCGTCGGCGTCGTCGTCGGCGTCGGCGGCGTCGTCGTCATCGTCGGCGTCAGCGTCGGCGTCGGCGTCGGCATCGGCGTCAACGGCGTCGTCGGCGTCGTCGGCGTCGTTGGCGTCGTCGTCGGCGTCGTGGGCGTCTTGTCGTCGTCGTCGGCGTCGTCGTCGGCATCGTTGTCGTCGGCGTCGTCGTCAGCGTCGTTCTCGACGTCGTCGGCGTCGTCGACGTCGTCGTCGGCGTCGGCGTCGTCAGCCTCGTTGTCGTCGTCGTCGGCGACGTCAGCGTCGTCGTCGGCGTCGTCGTCGGCGTCGGCGCTGGCGTTAGGGTCGGCATCGTTGTCGACGTCGTCGGCGTCGTCGGCATCGTTTTCGTCGTCGGTTTCGGCGTCGTCGTCGTCGGCGTCGGCGGCGGCGTCGGCGTCGTCGTCGCCGCCGCCGTCGTCGACGTCGTCGGCGTCGTCGTCGTCGGCGGCGTCGTCGACGTCGTCGTCGGCGTCGTCGCCGTCGGCGGCGTCGTCGTCGGCGTCGGCGTCGGCATCGTCATCGTCGTGGGCGTCGTCGTCGACGTCGGCGTCGTTGGCGTCGCAAGCGTCGTCGTCGTCGTCGGCGTCGTCGACGTCGTCGGCGTCGGCGTCTTGTCGTAGACGTCATCCGCGTCGTCGTCGGCGTCGTCGTCGGCGTCGTCGTCGTAGACGTCGTCGTCGTCATCGGCGTCGTCACCGTCGTCGTCGGCGCCAGCGGCAGCGTCGTCGTCGTCGGCGTCGTCGTCGACGTCGGCGTCGTCGGCGTCGTCGGCGTCGTTTTCGTCGTCGGCGTCGCTGGCGTCTGTTCGCCGTCGTCAGCGTCGGCGTCGGCGTTGGCGTCGTTGTCGTCGTCGGCGTTGGCGTCGCCGGCGTCGTCGTTGCCGACGTCGTCGGCGTCGTCGGCGTCGCTGTCGTCGTCGTCGGTGCCGGCGTCGTCGTCGTCGGCGTCGGCGGCGTCGTCGTCGTCGTCGGCGTCGTCTTCGTCGTCGTCATCGTCGGCGTCGTCGTCGGCATCGTCGTCGTCGACGTCAACGGCGTCGTCGTCGTCGGCGCCGGCGTCGTCGTGGGCGTCGTCGTCGTCGGCGTCAACGGCGACGTCGTCGTCATCGGCGTCGTCGTCGTCATCGGCGACGGCGGCGCCATCGTCGTCGGCATCACCGTCTGCGTCGTCGTCGGCGTCGGCGTCAACGGCGTCGTCGGCGTCGTCGGCGTCGTTGTCGTCGTCGGCGGCGTCGACGTCTTGTCGTCGTCGTCGGCGTCGCCGTCAGCGTCGTCGTCGTCGGCGTTGGCGTTAGAGTCGGCGTCGTTGTCGGCGTCGTCGGAGTCGTCGGCTTCGTCGGCGTCGTTGTCGTCGTCGTCGTCGTCGGTGTCGGCGTCGTCGTAGGCGTCGGCGGCGGCGTCGCCGTCGCCGGCGTCGTCAGCGTCGTCGTCGACGTCGTCGGCATCGTCGTCGTGGGCGGCGGCGTCGTCGTTGTCGGCGTCGTCGTCGTCGGCGTCGTCGTCGTCGGCGTCGGCGGCGTCGTCTTCGTCGGCGTCGGCGTCGGCGTCGGCGTCCTCGGCGTCGGCGGCGGCGTCGTCGGCGTCAGCGTCGGCGTCGGCGTCGGGATCGGCGTCGTCGTCAACGGCGTCGTCGGCGTCTCGTCGTCGTCGTCGCCGGCGTCGTCGCCAGCGTCGGCGTCTTGTCGTCGTCGTCGTCGGCATCGTCGTCGGCGTCGTCGTCGGCACTGGCGTCAGCGTCGGCGTCGATGTCGACGTCGTCGGCGTCGTCGTCGTGGTCGGCGTCGTCGTCGGTGTCGGCGTCGTCGTCGTCGGCGTCGCGGCAGCTTCGTCATCATCGGCGTCGTTGTCGGTGTCATCGGCATCGTCGGCGTCGTGGCGTCATCGTCGGCGTCGTCGTCGGCGTGGTGTGGGCGTCGTCGGCGTCGGCGGCGTCGTCGTCGTCGTCGTCGTCGTCGTCGGCGTCGGCGGCGGTCGGCGTCGGCGGCGTCGGCGTCGGCGGCGTCAGCGTCGTCGTCGGCGTCAGTGTCGCGTCGGCGTCGGCGTCGGCGACGGCGTCGGCGTCGTCGGCGTCGTTGCCGTCGTCGGCGTCGTCGGCGTCTTGCCATCGTCGTCGTCGTTGGCGTCGAACTCGGCGTCGTCGCCGGCGTTGGCGTCGTCGTCGGGGTCAATATCGCTGTCGTCGGCGTCGTCGGCGGCGTCGTCGTCGGTGTCGGCGTCGTCGGCGTTTGCGTCGGCGGCGGCGTCGACGTCGTCGTCGGCGTCGTCGTCGTCGGCGTCGTCGGCGTCGGCGGCGTCGTCGTCGGCATCGTCGCCGGCCTCCGCGTCGTCGGCGTCGGCGGCGTCGACGTCGTCGGCGTCAGCGTCGGCGTCGGCGTCGGCGTCGGCGTCGGCGTCAACAGCGTCGTCGGCGCGGTCGGCGTCGATGTCGTCGTCGTCGTCAGCGTCGTCGGCTTCGGCGGCGTCGGCGCCAGCGTCGTTTGCGTCCTCGTCGTCGGCGTTGGCGTCAGCGTCGGCGTCGGCGTCAACGGTGTCGTCCTCGTCGGCGTCGTTGTCGTCGTTGTCGTCCTCGCCGTCGTCCGCGGCGGCGGCGTCGTCGTCGTCGTCGTCGGCGTCGTCGTCGTCGTCGGCATCGGCGTCGGCGTCGTCGTCGTGGGCGTCGTCGTCGGCGTTGGCGTCGGCGTCGTCGTCGGCGTCGTCGTCGTCGGCGTCGTCGGCGTCGGCGTCGGCGTCGGCGTCGTCGTCGCTGTCGTCGTCGGCGTCGTCGGCGTCGTTGTCGTCGTCGTCGGCATCTTGTCAGCGTCGTGGGCGTCGTCGTCGACGTCGGCGTCGTTGGCGTCAGCGTCGGCGTCGTTGTCGACGTCGTCGGCGTCGCCGGAGTCGTTGTATGCATCATCGTCGGTGTTGGCGTCGTAGTCGTCCATGTCGGCGGCGGCGTCGTCTTCGTCGTCGGCGTCATCGTCGGTGTCGCCGTCGTCGTCGTCGGCGTCGGCGGCGGCATCGTCGTTGTCGGCGTCGTCGTCGGCGTCGGCGTCAAAGGCAACGGCGGCGTCGGCGACGTCGGCGTCAGCGTCAGCGTCGGCGGCGTAGGCGTCGGCGTCAACGGCGTCGTTGTCGACGTCGTCGTCGTTGTCGTCGTCGTCTCCAGCGTTGGCGTTTTGTCGTCGTCATCGGCGTCGCCGTCGGCGTCGTCGTCGCCGGCATTGGCGTCAGCGTCGGCGTCGTTGTCGATGTCGTTGGCGTCGTCGGCGTCGTGGGCGTCGTCGTCGGTGTCGCGTCGTCATCGTCGTCGGCGTCGGCGGCGTCGTCGTCGTCGCCGTCGTCGTCGTCGTCGTCGGCAGCGTCGTCGTCGTGGGCGTCGTCGTCGTCGTCGGCGTCGTCGTCGTCGGCGTCGTCGGCGTCGGCGTCGTCATCGGCGTCGTCGTCGTCGCCGTCGTCGTCGTCGGCGTCGTCGTCGGCGTCGGCGTCAAAGGCGTCGGCGGCGTCGTCGTCGTCGGCGTCGGCGTCGGCGACGTCGGCGTCGACGGCGTCGTCGACATCGTTGTCGTCGTCGTCGTCGGCGTCTTGTCACCGTCGTCGTCGGCGTCGTCGTCGGCGTCTTGTTGTCGCCGCCGGCATCAGTGTCGGCGCCGTTGTCGGAGTCGACGTCGTCGTCGGCGTCGTTGTCGGCGTCGTCGGTGTCGGCGTCGCCGTTGTCGGCGTCGACGTCGGCGTCGGCGTCGGCATCAACGGTGCCATCGGCGTCGGCGGCGCGTCGACGTGGGCGTCGTCGTCGTCGTTGTCGTCGGAGTCGTCGTCGTCGGCGTCGTCGTCGGCGTCGGCGTCGGCGGCGGCTGCGTCGGCGTCGTCGTCGGCGTCGTCGTCGTCGGCATCGGTGGCATCGTCGTCGTCGGCGTCAGCGTCGGCCTCGGCGACGGCGTCAAAGGCGTCGTCGGCGACGTCGGCGGCGGCGTCGTCGTCGTCGGCGTCGGCGTCGGCGTCGTCGTCGTCGTCGTCGGCGTCGGCGACGGCGTCGTCGGCGTCGTCGGCGGCGTAGGCGTCGGCGTCGTCGTCGTCGTCGGCGTCGTCGTCGTCGGCGTCAGCGTCGGCGTCGGCGTCGTCGTCGGCGTCAACGGCGTCGTCGGCGTCGTTGGCGTCATTGTCGTCGTCGTCGGCGTCGTTGGCGTTTTGTCATCGTCGTCGTCGTCGTCGTCGGCGTCGGCGTCGTTGTCGTCGTCAACGCAATTGCATCGGCGACGCCAGGGTGGAGAAAATCGAGCCCCCTCCACATCGAGCCGCATCGCCGATGCATCCTCGATGCGGCGTGGCCCTCCAACCCCACCAACTCCGACCCCGTCTGGGAGCCCTAGGACACTGCTCCAGTCGGGGAGACGTAAGACTCGGGTCCGGGGCATCCGGGTTGGCTCGGCGCGGCCATCATGAAAATGACGAGACCCAATCTGAAATCTGACGCGAGCTCCCGCTGCAGACATCCCACGAAAACTGGACCGTCAAAATCCAGGACGCGCTCGTCAAAGAACGTCGACAAACCCGAGTTCCAGCTTACTCGAGCCCTACACGTCGTTCTTTTCTAATCGTGCTCATTTCTATTTGTGCTCGTTTCAAATTGTTCCTGGCCCCCTAGTGGCCAGGAAGAGGCCCAGGATAGAACAATTAGAAATGAAAGGATCTTGGCCCCCCAAAAGATCAAAGAACTTTCGAATAATTAGACATGAACAATGTGTACGCTTCCGCGATCCAGATCTGATCCGTCCTTCCGACGCACGCAGGCCGCCAAAGGCTCCAACCCAGACGTCCGACGCGCGTCCAGAAGCCAAGGCGGAGGTCCGTCGTCGTGTGCGGCCTCTGGCGGCCCTCGTCGGGCCCCCAGGGGCTGCCAAGAGACGCCTCGGGACGAAGAAGCGGCCCTGGGGAGAGGGTCGGGGCGTCCAGGGACCCCGCATTCACAAGAGAACTGGCCCGGCGAAGCACCCAACCCTTCATAGAGAAGGGGCCGAAGAAGACGGGGCGACGCCATGCGGACGCACCCACCGGGGCCCTCGGTGGAGCTCCCTGGGAGGCGGGAAACGTGTGAGGGGTGTGCCGAACTGGGCGCGGCGCCGCCATGCGGACGCACTCACCAGGGCCCTGGGTGGAGCTCCCTGGGGGCCACGCAACGTGTGAGGGGTGTGCCGAAGAGCAGGAGAAGAAGGGGGAGGAGGAGGAGAAGAGGAGCGGCAGGAGTGAGGACGCGGGCGCTTCTCTTCGAAACGAGGACCCAGCTCACAGGAGGGTTGGGAACAAGGCACGGGAGGTCTGGGAAGCTGCCGAGCCCGAGGCTTTCTCTCAGCGTTCGGCACTGGCCGGTTTCTGCGGGCCCTGGGGCGGTCGGCAGACGGCGCGGGGCGAGAAGCCGGCCCCTGGAACAGGGTCGAGAGGTCCGCGGCCCGGAGGCTCGAGCATGCGGAGCCGTCGGAAGTCTGGGCACCGGCACCGCAGGGTGCTCCTCCTCCTCCTCCTCCTCCTCCTCCTCCTCCTCCTCCTCCTCCTCCTCTTCCTCCTCCTCCTCCTCCTCCTCCTCCTCCTCCCTCCTCCTCCTCCTCCTCCTCCTCCTCTCCTCCTCCTCCTCCTCCTCCTCCTCCTCCTCCTCCTCCTCCTCCTCCTCCTCCTCCTCCAGGTGGCGAGGCGACCGTGAGTGGCCCGGTCCGTTCCTGCAGCGGGCCAGCCCCGAGGCAGCCCGCGCGGTCCCTCGCAAAAGGGCGCAGAAAAGCCCTCCCCGATCGGCCGCCGGAGATCCCGACGCCGACCGATCCGCGACAAGGGCCTTCCTGCGCAGCCGGGCTCTTGCGAGCCTCCGTCGAGGAAGAGGCGCGCCGACACCTCTTCGGCACACAGTCGGGCCGCTGGCAGAAGGGATGCTGAAGAAGGAGCGAAGCCCCTCTACGGCAGGTTCGTGTCGTGCCGACCCCAGCGTTGGTTTTTGACACCGCAGGGATCGTTCAACCTTGAAAGATCGGCCGCTGCCGCAACGTCCGATCGTTCAACATCGATCGATTCTGGGTCGCCAGCGGCGTTCAACCTTGAACGCCCGCGCTGGGGTCGCCGCTGGTCGACACGACGCAAACCTACCGTACGGCCCCCAAAAAGCGCCTGCCTGCACGAGGAGGGCCAGGAGGAACAGCCATGCAGGGACCCAGGGAGCACCGAGCCCCGTTCGTGCCCAAACAACTGTTCCTAATCTCAGCGTCTTGGCTGCATGTCTCGGCGGCGACGATAGGGGCGAGTAACCCAAGGGCGAGCATCACACGCATTCGCCCAGGAGCCTTGTCGAAGACATAGATCATCGGCACCCCTAGATACATGTATTGCTTCCCCTGGGCTATTCGCCCCTATCTCGGGCCGAGGGAAAGAGAGGATAGCAAAGGGGGGGGGGGGGGGAGAATCAGCTCACGTAGCTGATTCTCCCGGCGCCTCCCCGCGCCACAGGCGGCTATGCATCGAGGAATGGGCCCCTCGGTGGGGCCGAAACCAGCTGCGCGCAGCAGACTTCGTACCCCCCCCCTTTCCCAATCGAGGCCCGCTCGAGGCACCCAGGGGTAGGGCGCAAGGAAGTGGGGGGGGGCGCGAGAGTCCTGGGAGCTTTAGGCAAACTCCTTCGCGCGCCGCTCAGGCCCGGCAGGAAGCGGGGGCCATTTTCCTAAGATGGGGGCCCAATGGCGGCTCAGCTCCCCGGCATTAGTAGTACAGATCTCTGGGTGCCTCGAGCAGATTTCGTACCCCCCTCCCGTCCGGCCCGACTATCGTCGCCTCCGAATGTCTTGCTTCCGCCGCCCTCCGCCGCCGGCGGCGCCCCGGCCCTGCGCCCGCCGGCCCCCCGCCGGTCTCCGCGCGCCGCCCCGGGCGAGACGCGCCAGCCTGCGCCGACGCCTCTCGAAGGCAGCGGCCCCCCCTCGCCGAGGAGGGGAAGGAGGAGGAGGAGGAGGAGGAGGAGGAGGAGGAAGAGGAGGAGGAGGAGGAGGAGGAGGAGGAGGAGGAGAGGGAGGGGGAGGGGAGGAGGAGGAGGAGGAGGAGGAGGAGGAGGAGGAGGAGGAAGGAGGAGGAGGAGGAGGAGAGAGGAGGGGAGGAGGAGGAGAGGAGGAGGAGGAGGAGGAGGAGGAGAGGAGAGGAGGGAGGAGGAGGAGGAGGAGGGAGGAGGAGGAGGAGGAGGAGGAGGAGGAGGAGGAGGACGAGGAGGAGGATGGAGGAGGAGAGGCGGAGGAGGAGGAGGAGGAGGAGGAGGAGGAGGAGGAGGAGGAGGAGGAGAGGAGGAGGAGGAGGAGGGGGAGAGGAGGGAGAGGAGGAGGAGGAGGAGGAGGAGGAGGAGGAGGAAGGAGGAGAGGAGGAGGAGGAGGAGGAGGGAGGTAGGAGGAGGAGGAGAGGAGGAGGAGGAGGAGGAGGAGGAGGAGAGGAGGAGGAGGAGAGGGAGGGGAGGAGGAGGGGGAGGAGGCGGAGGAGGAGGAGGAGGAGGAGGAGAGGAGGAGGAGGAGGAGGAGGAGGAGGGGAGGGAGGAGGGAGGAGAGGAGGAGGAGGAGGAGGAGGAGGAGGAGAGGAGGAGGAGGAGGAGGAGAGGAGGAGGAGGAGGAGGGGGGAGGAGGAGGAGGAGGAGGGGAGGGAGGAGGAGGAGGAGGAGGAGGAGGAGGAGGAGGAGGAGGAGAGGGAGGGGGAGGAGGAGGAGGAGGAGGAGGAGGAGGAGAGGAGGAGGAGGAGGAAAAGGAGGAGGAGGAGGAGGAGGAGGAGGAGGAGGGAGAGGAGGAGGAGGAGGAGAGGAGGGGGAGGAGGAGAGGAGGAGAGGAGAGAGGAGAGGAGGAGGAGGAGGAGGAGGAGGAGAGGAGGAGGAGGAGGAGGGGGAGGAGGAGGAGGAGAGGAGGAGGAGGAGGAGGAGGAGGAGGGAGGAGGAGGAGGAGGATGTGAAGGAGGAGGAGGAGGAGGAGGAGGAGGAGGAGGAGGAGGGGCGCCGCGCGTGAGCGCGCGGCCTGCCGCCCCAGCCGCCGCCGCGCTGCGGCCGCCCGTCTGGCCGCCCCGCGTCCCAGCCTCGCGGGCGCTGCTGCTGCCATGCCTCGCGTGGCTGGCCGCCGCGCTGCGGCAGCCCGTCCGGCCGCCCCGCGTCCCAGCCTCGCTCGCGCTGCCTCGGCGGCGCGTCCCGCGGCTCGCCGTCGCGCTGCGGCCGCCAGCCATGCCGCTCCGCGTCCCAGCCTCGCTCGCGCTGCTGCTGCCGTGCCTCGCGCGGCTCGCCGTCGCGCTGCGGCCGCCAGCCGTGCCGCTCCACACCCCAGCCTCGCTGGCGCTGCTGCGGAGCTGCGCCCCACGGCTCGCCGTCGCGGCCCCGCTCGTGTCGCGCATCCTGCCCGGGGGGTCGCCGCGTGGCTATCAGATTCGCTGCGTTCCCATCATCATAACCCCTCTCCTTCTCATGTTCCTTCTCCTTCTCCTTCTCCTTCTCCTCATCATTATCCTTATTCTTGTTGTTATTAGTATTATTAATAGTAGTACTATGATCATTAATATTAGTATTATTAATATTAGTATTAATATTATTATTAATGGTATTACTAGTATTATTGCTATTATTATTCTTATTATTATTAGTAGTAGTAGTAGTAGTAGTAGTAGTAGTAGTAGTAGTAGTAGTAGTAGTAGTAGTAGTATTCGTAGTACTATTATGATTCGTATTACTATTAGTCATACTACTACTATTAATATTATTATTAGTAGTATTATTAGTATTAGTATTAGTAGTAATAGTATTAGTATTGTTACTAGTATGATTATTATATATTAGTAATATTATCCCAGTGCGACCCGACCTAGGAGTTGGAAACCCTAGGAAAGCAGCATTAGTAGTAACAGTAACGCTAAGCTAAAGCTAAGCTAAAGTTAAGCTAAAGCTAAGCTAAAGCTAATCTAAAGCTAAGCTGAAGCTA